TAATAAAAAATCTAAAGCCTAATTATACTCTTTTCATTAAGGATAATATACTTAATATTAGCTATTTATACCTATATATTACCTAGCTTATTATCTAAAAGCTCCTTTAATAAATTAATTTACTTCGAAATAAGGAGATATAGCAAAGAGTATAATATTATATTACTAATTATATTAATAGTAATACCTATAGGGGCTGCTCTTATAATATAATTAGCTAACCAAGCATTAAAGGTAATTAAAAAAATATAGATAAAGTAAGACTTTTTAATACCTCCTTAGCTATTAACTTAGACTAAGAGAGGTTAAGGGTATAATTAATTTAGATTAATTATAGTATTTAAGTAATTAATAAAAAAATTATATAAGAGGTATTATTCTTTATTTAGAATATTAGGGTTAATTATATTAATAATAATATTAATCTAAGTAATATTATTAGAGGCTCTTCTAATACTTATACTTTTAAATATATAATTTAAGGAACTTACTAATATAATTATCTTAATTATAAGTATAATCTAAAGGACGATTTCTAAGGAGCTCTATATCTTTAGTATTAAGCTAATCTTAGGGCAATAGACTAGTAAATTCTTACTAAGCTTCTTAGGGGACCTTATCTTCCTTATTAGGATCTTCCTTAAACTCTTCCTTAAAGATATCTTTACTAATAATACTAAAGTAATCGCTAAGGTAAGCACTAATATAAATAAGCCTATAGTATAAATAAGTATTAATAAAGGTCTTAATAGTTTTGCCCTCTATTATTAGAAGCTTATTAAAGTTATTATAGGGGTAATAAAATATTAGCTTAACCTAGGTATAATCTTTATACTTAGAAATTAGGCTATACTAAGGGAAATAATTAAGAATATAATTAAGGGCCTCGGGGAATTCTCGCTAACTCTAAGGCTAGCTAGAGAAATTAATCTAAGTAAAAAAAAAGAAATAACTATAATCCTTAAAGCTATCTAGGAGGCTAAGATACTTTTTATAGGTATTCTTTACTATAATAATAAAATCCTTGCTATTAATAAGGATAAAATTAGCTTTCTAGTATTAACTTAGATAATAATAATTAATATTCTAGACGATATAAATACCTCGCTATAAGTCTAAGTTAAGGAGTAAATAATTAATCTCCTAAGCTAATTAATCTCTCTCGGTAATTAATCTATTTATAAACTTAGTAATAAAGCCTATGATACCTCGGTTAGAATTAATATAAAGTAAAATAGCTTTAATAATATTCTTATAACTCTTAGACTTCTTCTTAGCCTTACTAATATATTTAACCACATAGTTAATAACTATAGAAGAGCTTATATAAAGAGATATGTCGATATTCGCTAACTAGGATATAATAAGTATCTAAGTAAAATTATTAAGTTAGGTATTATTACGCATATTATCGCAGATAAGATAATTAAGGTTAAGGTCTTATAAGAGAATAAGATAAAAGTATATCTCTCGAGGGAAATAAAACCTATAAGATATCTTAGTTAATAACTAGCTATTATTTAACCGCTTTTATCGCTAGTAATAAGTCGGTATATATATATAGCATTATATATAATTAATAACTATATCTAGGTCCTTAAAGCTAGGATTTAAGATAATATTAATCAGCGGGTTATTCCTACGAACCTAACTAGCTTAATCGCGGTCTAGGTTCTAGGCATTAATATAATTCGCCTAGAAGCATAATAACTCCTAATATAAGCTCTAAGATCTTTATATTAACTTAAGGTAAGATATACCCTTTACTTAATATAGACTATAGTAATATTTACTCTATTATACTTACTATTCTATATAATACTAATAATTAATAATACCAAATTTAGAGATTAAGATATACTTTAGAAAGGCATTAAAGTAAGTATAGAAATAATATATAGCGATATATGGGTTCTCTTTTAGCTTTAATCTAATAATTCTAGCCTTACGATGGGTATTACCTACTAAGTACTTATTATACTAAGGCATAATGCTAGCAAGTAAGTCCTAATATAAGTCTACTAATAAGGAGGTAAGAAATATACCTAGATAGCCTAGGCCATAAATATATACCTCTAGTTAATAATAATAGCCTCCCTAATATAAATAAGTTCTATATAAATTACCTAAATAGTAAATAACTAAATTAAATAAGGCCTTAGCCTCTAGAGTACTTAAGTTAAATACTTACTATAGCTAATTAATATCTACTAATTAATAATATCTATCCTTCTTAATAAAGAATATACTTCTCTAATTAACCTATTATCTTATTGAGGTATTAAAAAGAATATAAGGAAAATATAAATACCTTATAAATCGGCTATTATAATACTTTATTAGTCGCCTAATATAGGTACTCTACGTGCTATATGCCTCGCTATCGGGGCTCGACGAAGTTACCCTCGCCCTTAGGGAATAGGATAAGAAACGCGAGAGATAAAAGAGGTTAGGATTAATTAAATTCGTTTAGTAATATACTATAAATAATAGGCATTTCGAGAGATAATTCTTTAGCTAGTTTAAGTAGAATATTAAGTTAATTATTATATCCCTAGAGATAATTATATAGGAAGGTTAAACCTCGCTCTTAGGCGATAAAGTTAGGAATAATAATAATACCCTAGTTATTAGGATTAAGAAGGTATTATCCTTAATAAAGTTATTAATCTTATTAGGATTAATAAGTTTTATAATTAATTAATTAGAAATATTATTATCCTATAAGAATTAACTAAGATAGTCCTTATTAATAATAATATATTAATATCCTAGGTAATTAATATATAGGAACTTAAGCTAAGTATGAATATATTACTATTAAACGCGGTATTAATTCTAATATTAGCGAATTATATATAGCTAATTTATCTAATTAATAGGATAAAAAATAATAATATTAAGGTCCTAAGGAAGTAATAATAATTATTAATATACCTAGCTAATATCCTTAAGGAAATTAATATTATATCCTTTATATTTATATTATTATTAACCCTAATAGGTTATAATTTATATATAAATATAAACATAAGCAATAAGTATCTCTTTTACCTATATTAACTTAGGTAGCTCCTTAGGGACCTCGCTAAGATCGAGGTTATTATCTCTTAACTAGAAGAAAAGTTAGCCTTCTTAATACTAATTTTATATAAAATAGCCACTAATTAAAATAATATCGCATCGATAATAAGACTAATATATACTATTACGAAGGTTAAGGCTAAATTACTTAATCTTATATTATAAATAATATATTATAATATTATTATTTATTTTTACCTACTAATTAGCAATAAATTAATAATCTTAATTATTTAGATATAATTAACCTAAGTTACCTTTAATAAAAAGCAGGTTAAGAATAAAGGCTAGGGATAATACTAGCGGTAATTATAAAGAGACTAGCTACCTATAAGTTTACTAAGGGCATTAATAACTAATATTAAGGCATAAATTAATACTTATAATCGAGAGACTAAAGTCTAAGTTAGCTATAGACGAGGCTAAGGTAACTAACTCGCTATTATTATCTTAATTAAGCTCGCGATAATAAGATCTATAATATACTTTTTATTTATTATTAGAGCCTTAGAATTTATATTAAAAAAAGATATAAAGGTAAGAAAGATATATTTACTCTTTATCGTCTTTATCATAGCTAAGATTAGCGCAATAGATATAAGTATTAGAGCCTTAATAATAATACTAATATAGACGACGAATGCCATAGGTATTATAAGTAAAGGGATTATCTTCCTTATTATGCCTATAGTTACTAGACCTAGAGGTAATAGCGCTAGAGCTAGACGCAAAGGCATTATAGCTAGAGCTAATAAGAGAGTAATAATAGCCTATTAACTAAGAAATAGAAGGTATTAGGCTAGGTTCTTTATTAGCATAGTATTATATATAATACTTATATCGGATAATAGCCTAATAAGGTTAATTAATATATAAATTATTATTATTAGGTATTATAACTTAGTTACTAGGCTTTAGCTTTAGCCTTAGCGGGAATATCCTAGGACTATTATCTATAGGGGAAGAACTTTATTCTATAGCTTATACGCTTAATAAAGTTATTAAGAATATAGCGGCTAGGTATCTTATTATAGGGATATATCGCGAGAAGGCAACTAAGAGGCTAGGGATAAAGGAGAATAAGTTAAATATACTAAGTTTCTAGAGACTAGATATTACTAATAATACGCTTATAGGATAATAACGACGCTATAGAAGCTAGAGACTAAGAGTATTATTAGGTCGTAGCTTATAGCTAGACTTATTAATATTATTAGATAGATAAGTTCTTAATTAAAATTACTTATTAATATATTCTTATACTCCTAACTAGTAGGATATCTCTTAATAAGCTTATTTTTATACTTTAGGTAAATAAAGTAAATAAGAGACTTTATTTATCTATAATAATTATATTCCTAAATATTAAATAAAAGATCTAGATTAATAGTATTAAGTAGAGGTTAATCTCTATTACTAAGAGGACATAAAGGTAAAAGACCTAATAGTCCTTCGGCGGCGGTCGCTATACTATACTTAATGCTTAATAGGTTAATTATTTTCTTAGTAAGGGCTTAAAGGGCTAGCTAAAAATTAATAATAAGAGCTTAATAATCCCCCTATTTTTAAGCCCTATTATTATAAAAGGAATACTTTATTATATTATACTATACTGCCTAATATATATGCAGCGGGCTAAGGGCAGAGGATATAAGGCAAATTATAACCCCCTAGGTTACTAAGCGGTTCAAAGAATTAAGAGCTCTCTCACGAGGGTAAAGCAGGTATATCCTTACCTTGCCTTAGTAGTAGATCTTAATCTCAGTTAGTCGGGCATAGAAGATTAGAGGTCTCTAAGGGAAAGAGGGGTTTCTAATAGTATAGAATCGATAAGAATAACTATTAATAACGTTAAATATTAATTATAGATAGGGAAAGGCGATATTAGGCTGCAAAAGCACCGCAAATGCGCTCTAATGCGTGAGGAAGAGAGGTTAAAGAGGAAAGATCAAGAGATAGGTTAGAGGGGGCAGGCAGAGGGGCAACTTTGCCGGGCCAACCAATTAAAATACAGAATAGTGGGAAATTGAACTCGAGCCCCCACAAATGCCCCACTTTTGGATCGTTCTATGACCCTTAATACTAAGGGGCTATACATTATGATCAATTATTAGCCTTATTATCGCTTACGACTTAGAAAACTAAGCTAGTAACGTTAAAAGTACTAAAAAAGGACTTACTCCTTCTCGCTTTGCTTTGTCTTTATTACTTAGCTAGTGGGACCCTAAGTTAGGATTCTTAGGCTCCGAGACTAGTCTTATTGAACGGCCGAAGCCCACGAAGACAGACTCAGAGACAGCGGGAGATCCTAGCAGGCTATGAAGCAATTATCCGCCAGAATAACGCGAACACTCAGCTGGGCCCACTGTGAGTTGAAATAACGGGTACCCAAGCCGTTACGCCAAACCAGCGTGCAAGTGTCATCTCTTGGATGCCGGCTGCTCAATTATCTCGGTATATATAGCACTGCTGAGGCTGCTGAGGCTGCTCGTGATGCCCCTTGTGAGGCTGATCATGCCCCTTCTGGTTCAGTTGAGATTGATGCTACTGATACCGCTGATATCGCTGATGGTGATGTTATTCTTGGTGTTGAGGAGGTTCCTGCTATGGATATCATTGCAGTTTTGTCGTACATAATAGACCACTATGCCATACGGCAAAAGTAGAAGATACCTTCTAACAGGTACCATAGTAATTGGTCATTTACTGCTCAAGTTTTTAGTGCTCTTTCTACCTTTAGTGCTCTTTCTATTGCTTATCATAATCACCACGATCTTGGCTTTAGTATTATGGAAGTGGTTACAAGGCTAGTGCTCATGACTCTCAAGGTTCTCGATATTGGCTCTGTTCTTGCTATTCTTGCCGTTTCTCTTCCGTTTCTTAGAGTTACTGCCACTTCTCATTATCATCTTAGTCCCAGTCTTTGGTATTTCTTCGATGATCATGGAGGGAATTGGTGTTTTGCCTCCGGCGGCTCTCCGAGGGCCCTTCCGGCAGACCCTTCGGGTACCCTCTGGGGCTCTCCCGGGGGGTCTCCGACGGTATTTCCTCTGGACGCCCTCCGGACGCCCTGCCGGGAGCCTCCTGCGGAGGGCTCCTCGCTGCGCTCGAATATATACACCAAGTCGAATCAACTTGCTTGTTTTGCCGTGCCCTCGCCCTATGGTGAGGGCTCCGGTTGGTCTCCCTTAGTTTTTTTTCAATATCCATTAATTAGCTAATTCCAATATAAAATCAGGGATAATAATCCAAGAGATTCGGTACTTAGATACATATAACCTTCCTCGTTAATACGGGCCCACCGCGAATGCCCTTATATACTCTTTAGGTAATAAATTTAGGCCCGATTAATCGCGCAACTATACTTTCTAGCATAAACCTTATTAGGCTTATTTTAAAGATATAAAGCTAGAAGGTACCCCTAATTACTTTATATTATACCTACCCTTATTATATAGCTTTACCTAATTAAGGTCTAGGGATAAGTTAATTATATATTAGGAGCCTATCTATTAGCTAGGTCTTTTATATCTAGGTCGCTCTCGCGCCCTTAGAAAGTAATAGTATCCTTAGCCCCATTGCCTAAGGCTAAGGCTATATTTTTATCGGTAATTAAATATCATATAAACTACCTTTCTTATCGCTATTATAGTAGTAACCTTAAGGCAAATAATAACGCTTTGCCGGCTATTATTCTAAGAAAAATAGTTTAGTTATACTTAAGGGCAAATAGCATAGCACTAACCCCTAGCTATATAGCTATTATGCCTAAACCGCTTTACTATACCTAGTTACGCCGGGGAATACCGGCCCTAAGTTTAAACTTATTAGACTAATCATAGATATTAATATAGAGTGCAGTAGGCTAATAGTCCCTATTTGCTTCCTTATTAGGGAGGCCCTTAGGAGTATATATGCTATTAGCTATATTCCTAATTTCCCCGGGTATTTAGAAGATATATGTCTTAATAAGTTATTCTATTACCTAGGGCTAATTAGCTTAGCTATATCCTAACTTAAGATTAATATCTAATAATAATACTTTAGGTAATAATTTAATAAGATAATTCTCTTTAACTACTAAAACTACCGCTAAGATTATATATATAATAGACCTAAAGGAAAAAATTAATATTATTACTATATTATCATAGAGGCTTACTAAAGCGAGCTAAGTAATATTACCTCTGAGAATTAGTAATACTAAGAAGATATCCCTAGGGATTATTTATTACTCCTAGAGCGATATTACTAAAGAATTTTATATAATTTTTATATTTAAGGATAAGAAATTATAATATTAGCGAATATATAATTAAATATAATAATTAATTCTAATAAAGTTAATATCTAATTAGGCTATTAAGAAAGTATAAAAAGAAAATAAAGATTACTTATTAGGCTAGGCCTAGAGCTAGCTCCCTAGTTAAAAGAGATTCTAATAATAAATATCCCTTCTTAATAAACGCCGATAATTAATAGATTATAGTTAGGAAAAGCTATATTCCTATATAAGAGACTTACTTTTATAATATAGCTATATATAGAGGGCGCTTAGAGGTAATTAATATACTAATTAATATCTATAATTAATTTATGCCTCGAAGGGAAGCTCTATATTATAATTAAGCTAAGTACTAATATTACCTCTCTAAATAAAGTCCCTTATATTACTTCTAATACTAAGCTATCCTATATATAGTTAATTTTTAAAGCCTAAGGAAATAAATATACCTAGGCCTAGGATAATTAGATAATATTATAAGGGCATAAAGCCACTAAGATTAATACTTAGAGGTAATTAGGTATTAATAATATATACTATATATATACCTACCTAAGATTACTAATTTCTCCTTGCTTAGAGTATAGTCCTTAAACCGATTTAATTAAATTTACTTATCGCGGAATATCTATAGTTTATGAATACTATTATAATAGATTATTTACTCTAGACTTATTTAGAGCCGCTTAGAGTGCATATGGTCTATATAGTAGATTCTTATACGATAATATGGAATAGCCTTGCTAACTCTGCTAGTTTGGGCTGCGGCTAGTGCCGCGTGCTCTAGTAATAAGGAGAGAAATTAGCATTATGTAAAGTAACTATGAGCTTCTCTTAAAGCAATAGTTCTGGTTGCACTCTAAAAGGCGATCTTCAGGCTCAGTTAACCCATTAAGGGCCGGGCTACAAGCACTCCAAAAGGCATCGCCTATCTCCGACTCATAATCAACTATAATCCCATATGCAGCTTCTTTGTCTATATAGAAGCAGGTAGGTACCTAGAGAACTATAATCCTTTGCATGATACTGACGAGATCATTGTGTTCAAAGATGATATGTGCGTCAACTAATAAGTTTGGCAATTCGCCGAGATGTTTCATTTAAGCTCTAACTAAGCCCGTACTCCTCATAGGTTGACTCACCCTAGTAGCCACTACCCAAATAATTCTCTTATTTCTCGTACAGAGGTTAGAGTAGTTAAAATACCTATGAGAGGTTAGACTTTTATGATAATATAGCTAGGTATGACTCTTCTGTTGCTACAGAATTTTAATAGGCTACTATATTAATATCGGGTTATGATGTTATGATGTGTTTGAGATTTATTCTTTATTATAGTTGCAGCCTGGCCCTTCATGGGTTAACTGAGCGCCAATATCGATACTAACGACATGTTAAGATGACCCTGCCTCTGGCTACATTCGTGCTAGAGATCCTATACATAATGTCTCTTTAACTTCTAACTACCGACTAGCTTCTGCTTGCCTGAAGGAATACATCTAACACCGCGACAACTGCCCTGCGCCACAACCGCCTCAACCACCGACCAGAGTCATCTGAAAGACTCAAGCTTTTGATCAGTTCTAACATATAATCCTCCTATGCGGCTTTAAGCTACATAAGGGGCGAAGAAGTAACCATATAATATAAACCAAAAGAACCTTAATACTTATCTCACCTCTAAAACTAGTAAATACCTTTTGCCAAAGACCATCCACGACGCCATAGACTTAGCTTAATATCTTAATCTCTAATACCTCCGGGTAAATTCCCTTTATATACTATAAGATTACCGGGAGGATAAAAATCGAGAAATCCATTAAATATAAAAGATATTTCAAATATATATATTATACTTATAGTAATAAGCGCGCAGAGGGTCAATAAAAGCTTTCTTTATGACCGGCTATATTATCCCCCGTATAATTACCTGCTATTTATTTGCCCAGATAATAGACAAGTAGGCAGCATAATACTATCTCCTATCTAGAAATAATATAATAGCAGCTAAGAGCCTATAAATAATTGCGCTTAATACCTTAAAGAATACCTCCTTTTACCTTAAGTATTTATATATACTTCGCATACCCTATAGTATTATTATTAAACCCATGCCATCGATATTAGGCATAATATCTATGCTCCCTAAAGCGGAAGGCGATTACTATAGCTATTTTAGAAAGGGAATATTAGCGATTAAATATCGCTACTTTTTAGAGGGTAGCTTAGGTAAGGCTTAGGTAAGGCTCTCCCTCGACGATAGAGAAGCGTGGTTATTAGAGACACTAAGAAGATTCATTTTGGCCCGGTAGAACAGTAACCAGCACGCCATCGTCACTACTGGGGGTGGCAAGGGCATTGACAAAGAAGACTCGCAGCTGGGCAAATAAACGTTGACGTATCAGCACCCAACACCACCCGCACTGCCCTCACTATTCTGGCCACTTTTGGATCCTGCCGCTCATCACTGCCGCTGGCATACAGCACCACACGTGGTATCTGTTGCCCATTGGGGACATTGGAATTTTTCAGAACATCTTTGTTGCCTTGTGGCCACGATTTCCTAGGGATCTAGCCGTGCCCCCCTTGAGTTTGAAAGGGTCATGGGCAACCCCAAGGTTATGAACGCGCGCTATTCCTAGTTGAAGAGTATTATCCCCATGTTGGGCGATCGATGCTGAACGTCTTGTTTCTGGGCAAGCTGAGCCCTCGGGAGCCAGAGCGATGGGAAGATTTGGAGAATAAGGCCGATGCAGCGAACGAGGCGCAAAAGGGGAGCAGAGTAGCAGCATAACAGGGAAGAGGCACCGAGGACTTTCTTGCACACAGCCTCTTAGGGCTTATACCCTATCCCATCCCGTTGAGAATGCCCTATCTGGTAAGAGTCTTTCGAGTAGCGGGGGAGGGTGGCTCCTTTTTATTTAAGAACGGGGTAATGCTGATATAAGTAGTATGGTATGCAAGTCCCCATCCAGGTGAAGAAATTGAACAAACTAACATCTACTTAGTCTACCCACCCATTTGCATATGTTTGAAACTATTGGATGTGTATCTATGTATATACCTTTGCTTTAAATAATAATAACACTATTCCTTTCTGCCATAGCATTAGAGTAAATCGGCTCGTTATCTTATCTAATATAGTAATACCGGGAATGCCGTCATGATTTTCAGTCTTGTCTACTATATAATTTCAAAAAGTTGAGATACCTTGGCTTCTTTTCAAGTCCCGTCTAGACTACTCAGCTGATTAGATTGTGAAGTTTTGTGGAAAAGTAGAGGGAGGAGCTAAGATATCTTAATTTTCCGAGATTATACGGTACGTGGCTACACCTTAGATATCAGCTGCAATAGCCTAGACCCGCTATCGAGACCAATTGACCTGGGCTTGCCTGCTAGCAGACCAGGCTGGCGCTTTGCAAGACCAACATAGCAAGCTGGGAGGTAAGAGGCAGTCCCGTTCTAGGAATCGGCACTCTGGCACCGGGGAACTGGCTACTATTCGCCTGCGCCAGGCTTGGTATAGGTACGCAGATGATACACGAGGACAGCCACACATGAGTTGGGCTGCCCCCTTTTCCTTGCCGGTGCCCAAGGGATTATGGCATTCAAAGTGTCTGTGCTGACGAGGCACCCGAGACCACCGCTTTCATCTGCTTACCATCAACACAAACGCCAGACGCTATGGAACCACTACCATCTCCAGGAGTTGGCAATGCGCGCATTATTTATGATTTTTCTTTGGACAAAATTCGCGGCACAATATCTACAATCAATATTAGGCCCCAGGCTTCGAAACGCCGCTTTCGTATGATCAACTGCGTGGCCTTCGCCTTTCATAATAAACTACGGATCTGGGAATTCGCAGAGCCACCTCTACAGGAATTTAAAGGCTTTATTGACTGGCCAAAGCTCAAATATTCCGCCACATCGTATGCCTGGAGAGGAAACTCGCCGCTCGGCCCAATTGCAGAGCCTTCCGGGTATCTTACTCTCAAGGGCGCCA